AGGAAAAGATTCCCCCCTCTCTCTCTTTTTTTTTTTTCTTTTTTTACTCAGAGCATTTACTATAGAAAACTTGTGATTGTAAAGTACTTTCTCCTCTCTTTGAAATGTATATAAATCCTTTTGAAAACTAAGTAGGCCTTTTGTCAGCTTTAGAGAATGTCTTTCTCAAAGACGTGGGAGCTATCTTTTCAAAACATAAATATCAAGAGAGATAGCACGCCTACCTCCCAGTTTCTAAGGCAGAATAGGAGCCTACCTTGGGTGGGTACCTTGCTCCAAGTTGCAAAACTGCCTCCTGTCATACAAGTATGAGAAGTTTGCTTTTCTTCTGGATAAAGCCAATTAGCTAACACAGATGGTCACCCCAATTACCAGGTAAACTAGGAATGAACTATGTGTAAAAAATGATGTTATCAAGTCCTCTTACTTGTGGACTAGTTATTATCTATCTTGAAAACATGTATGTAATAGGCTGTATCTACTTGGTTACAAAAAAGGGTGAGAGATTTCTTTGTCTTCACCATCTTTTAGTGGATTGCCTGTGATATATACATCACATTCTGATTTTATGTTTATTCAATAATAAACCTGCTTCCTTTCTCTACTACCTTTGTGGGGAGGTTTTCTGGATTGGGAGATTTTGTTTCTGATTTTATTTCCCCAATACAGGCCAGGGACAATCAATGGAGAATTTATATGAGAGCAGAAGTTATCCGTGTGAAGAGAGGGAAGCATGTTTGTCATGTGAAAAAGACCAGATGGGACTCCCCTGGTGGCGCAGTGGTTAAGAATCTGCCTGCCAATGCAGGGAACACGGCTTCGAGCCCTGGTCGGGGAAGATCCCACATGCCGCAGAGCAGCTAAGCAACTACTGAGCCTGCGCTCTAGAGCCCACGAGCCACAGCTACTGAGCCCACGCACCACAACTACTGAAGCCCGTGCACCTGGAGCCCGTGCTCCACAAGAGAAGTCACCGCAATGAGAAGCCCATGCTCTACAACGAAGAGTAGCCCCCTCTCCCACAACTAGAGAAAGCCCGTGCGCAGCAACAAAGACCCAACACAGCCAAAAATAAATAAATACATACATACATAAAAATAATAATAAAAGACCAGAGATGTCAGAAAGGACTTGATGCAAGAGAGGTGCAGGGAAAATCCAGGTAATGAAGAGCCTCTTAAGTTATGTGAAGGAATTCGGACTTTATCCTGAGGGAAATTGAATAATCAAGGTGGTATCACAATAGGATTTGCCTTTAGAAACCGTAACTCTTGATGTTATGTGCAGAAGGGATTGGAGAGAAGTATTAGTGAATATAAGGAGATGAAGTTAGGTGAGAGATGGGCAATAATAATTACAGTAATAATAATAGTAACAATATATAGCCACAACTAACACTATCTTGAGCTAACTGTATGCTGGGCCCACTTCTCAGCACTCCACATGTATTGTCATTAATTTTTTCAACGTTTTAGTTTATATTGGAGTATAGCTGATTAACAATGTTGTGATAGTTTTAGGTGCACAGCAAAGTGACTCAGCCATACAGTGTTGTCATTAACTTTTGCAACAGCTCAATGAGGTTGTTGTGTTGTCATACCAATTTATAGATGAGAAAACTGAAAGATAAACCAATTAAATAACTTGCTCAAGAGTAATATAAGATAGAGTTGGAATTTAAACCTGGGCTCAGGGACAGTTTTCTTAACCTCTACACTCCCTCCCGATGTCGGTTAGGTTAAAGGCGGTGGCAAGATGATTATAATAAGGTGGATTGATTCAAGAAATATTTAGAAGGTAGAATAGACAGACCTGAGGATTGAGTGGATGTGGGGAATGGGTAAGAGAAAGGTGTTAAGGATGTTGCCCAGTTTTCTATTAGTATAGTTGAACTATTCACTGGGGCAGGAGGGCCAAGAACACAGCAATTCTGGAAGGAAAGTTAAAGAATTTGAAGGATACACTGCATTGAGGAACGAGAGTGGAGATGTCCAGTGAAGCAGCTATTACATAGCTGTGGAGCTCAAAAGGGAAGACAGCCCTTAACAGAAGGATGGTAACTGAGGTTGTGGGAGCAGATCAGAATGCCTGAGGAGAGAGAGCACAGTAAAGGGGAGAGGCCCAGATCAAACCCCGGGGAACATCAAAAAGAGAAGAGTCACCTCCATAGTAGGTTAAGAAGACTGTCAAGGAAGTGGAGCGGAAAAGAGTGCGGTATTTGCAAAGCTCAGAGAAAAGGATGTCCCTGAAGGAAGTGGGTCAATAATGTTAAGAACGTCCATAAAACCTTCCTTGGCTCAGAAAGAAGGAAGTAAGGTTGTGACCCTCTCTGCCCAACAATCAACCAGTGTGAACATAAATCTAACTCAGGTTCTGATGGGAGGCTAAGATGGCAGTACTTTGATTCCATTTTTGCTTTAAATGTTCAGGCTACTGTCATTTCCCCCACAATGGTACACCATATTGCTTTCCTTCTGTGAAGCTGAGTATGCAAAGTAAGACTGCAAATCCTCCTGCTGCCTCAGGAAGAAAATGCAGAATATGAAAACTGGTGCAGTAAGCAAGCTGATTATTTTGTCTCTGTGAAACCAAAGGCAGCCATTTTCATAGTCTCCTCTCAGATCCCAAAGATGCCATTAACTCTACCACCCTCTCTTATTTGTGACCCTCATCTTCCTATTAATCTCATTTCATTCCTTGACATTTTCCTCTGGCAGTAGATTTAGGGTGAGTTAACCATATTTGCAGAGATTTTGTTGTTTTCTTAAAAAGTAGACCTGCTAATGGGATTTTTGCCTAGTTTGGGTAGGCTAATACAGAGCCTATTATTCATGCTTGAAGATTTGGGGGAATGACTAAATGTTTTCATTCTGTGCATCTGGGCAACTTAATTTCATTTTGTCCCCTGACATTTGAAGATAGCTTTAGGGTTTTCTTTTCTCTTTCCCTCTATTCATTTTCTCCCACACTCTCCCCTCTCTTGCCCTACCCTACCCACTGTTGGATTGTTCATCTTTATTGGCTTGGAAACTGGGCTGCAATGTGATTTTCCACTTGGTTTCTAGTGGAATGGAATTTTTAGAAGTTTTTCTATCTTCTGGCTGCATGTGGGTGATGAGGAAAACCCTCTTCATCCAAGCTCAGAAGCTCTAACAATACTTACCTACCAGAAATGGTTGAGGTCTGGAGTTGAGAGTGTTTAAGCCAGTCTCTAAAATAAGGCCAGACCTAAAACAACTGAGGAAGTAAGGAACTAATGACCGGTCTTAAGGATTTAGAGATACTCTCTTCACCCCTTCCTAGTCTTTCTGTACTGAGTCCTCATGGAAATGAACTAGCACTGGTTGGAATTCTGTGCAAGGCTCTGCCAATCCTGTTTTAGCGCTTGACGTGGGTAGTGATAGCTTGAGGTAAGATGTGAGATAGTGAACGGGATAGCTCTGGGGACAGTGCCAGATAGATTTTTTTCTTAAGTTGATAATTTTGAGAACCACCCAAGTTTGGCTCCATTTAGTTCTTAATATCTGCTCCCAGCTTCACTATTGATCTGCTGAACATCCAACAAATCCTGTTTTTGCTTGCTCCACCTTGAAGTATAAGCGGCAGCCCCCTTTCTCCATGGCACTTGTGAGGGAAGTGAAAGCAGTTCTTTGTGCATGCTAGCACTTGTATTTTCCTTCCGCTGTAGATTTAAGGTCCTAGCAGCGATCTCATGCAAGGGATCCCTCTTGCAGGAGCACGGGGGGTCATTGCTTCTAAATAAGTAACTGAAGAGCATTCCCTTTTAGCTAGAGAAGCATGAAGGATTCTGAGATGGCCAAGAACTCCCCTGCAGAGCTGGTAGATTCAAGTTGGCAGCAGGGAGAGAAGAGTAGGGCTTTATGGAGATGAGAGGAATGTGGGCCAGGAAGAGGTGTCTGGTAGGAAGCTGCCGGGCTACAGGACTCTCTCCTTCACTAAATGGGAAGAGGGAAAGGAACTACATTTCCTGAGTACCTTGTCCATGCCAAGCACAGTGCTAGGCAATTTTATGCAGATAATCTGGCTTAAGCACTGCTCAGCAAGTCAGACACTATCACGTAACTGCTTATGATGAAACTGAGGCTCAGAAAGGTTGTAAGACTGCTGATCAACACCCAGTTAGGAAAAGACAAGGATGGAATTTGAAACTAAATCTATTTGACTTCAAAGTTCATACACTTCTCTGTAGCCTGCTTCGGACACTTATTCCTTGCTCTGGCATTACAGGGAAAGGGAGGTCACGGTGGACCCTCCCCTGTTCTCTCCACACACTGGAGAGAGAGGGCGTTGACCCTACTCCTGGTCTCCAGGGCTGGGCACTTGACCCTGGCCCGGTGGTGAGACCATGGTCCTTCCTTGGCCACCATGATTAGAGCAGGGTCAGGCAGATGACACAAGTAAATCTAATGAGTTTCAACTCCTAGAGCTGAGGAAAAGCTTCCTTCTTTATTTGGGGGTTGCTAAGCCCGTGGAAAGTAAGCCTGGAGCTGCCCGCACTGAAGAACAGCCAATCAGTAGAAAGTGAGCACAGAGGAAAGCACAGAGGAGAGGTGGATTTCTGGCAATGTCAAACTCATTTCATCATCTCTTCTGCTATGCCTGAAGCTAGACCTACTCCAGAACTTGTCATTGATGGAGCCAGTTTTGCACCTTAAGAAAATTTTTGCTAAGTTTCCTCTCACTTTCAACCCAAAGAACCCTGATTAATATGAGCATTAAAAGAGGGAATTTTTAAAGATATTTATGCTGTTGCTGATCTTTGGAAACTGGCAATTTATATTGGGGAGATCACACAAAGCTGTGAAAGAGCTACATCACCATCAAGTGCTGTCTTCTATTGCTACCATAACAGATTATTGCAAATGTAGGGTCTTAAAACAAGACACATGTATTATTACCTTACAGTTCTGAAGTTCAGAAGTTCAACCCAGGTCTCATCAGGCTAAAATCAAGATGCCAGCAGGGCTGCATTCCTTTCTGGAGGCTCTAGGGGAGGATCCATTCCCTGGCTTTTTCAAGCTTCTAGAAGTCACCCACATTCTGTGGTTTGTGCCTTCCTTCCTCCACCTGCAAAGCCAGCAACACCATATGACCCAGCAATCCCACTACTGGGCATATACCCTGAGAAAACCATAATTCAAAAAGAGTCATGTACCACAATGTTCATAGCAGCTCTATTTACAATAGCCAGGACATGGAAGCAACCTAAGTGTCCATCAACAGATGAATGGTTAAAGATGTGGCACATATACACAATGGAATATTACTCAGCCATAAAAAGAAACAAAATTGAGTTATTTGTAGTGAGGTGGATGGACCTAGAGTCTGTCATACAGAGTGAAGTAAGTTAGAAAGAGAAAAACAAATACCATATGCTAACACATATATATGGAATCTAGGGGGAAAAATGGTTATGAAGAACCTAGGGGCAGGACAGGAATATAGATGCAGATGTAGAGAATGGACTTGAGGACATGGGGAGAGGGAAGAATAAGATGGGACGAAGTGAGAGAGTGACATGGACATATATACACTACCAAATGTAAAATAGATAGCGAGTGGGAAGCAGCCGCATAGCACAGGGAGATCAGCTCGGTGCTTTGTGACCACCTAGAGGGGTGGGAGAGGGAGGGTGGGAGAGGGAGGGTGGGAGGGAGACGCAAGAAGGAGGAGATATGGGGATATATGTAAATGTATAGCTGATTCACTTTGTTATAAAGCAGAAACTAACACACCATTGTAAAGCAATTATACTCCAATAAAGATGTTAAAAAAAATAGAATGAAATAATGTCATTTGCAGCTACATGGATGGACCTAGAGATTATCATACTAAGTGAAGTAAGTCAGAAAGAGAAAGACAAATACCATATGCTCTCACTTATATGTGGAATCTAAAAACAAAACCAACCAAACAACAACAAAACTTAAGCTCACAGATACAGAGAACAGATTGGTTGTTGTCAGGTGGCAGGGGGAGATGGACAAAACAAGTGAACAGGGAGGTCAAAAGCATAGTGACTATAGTTAAAAATACTGTATTGCATATTTGAAAGTTGCTAAGAGTAAGTCTTAAAAGTCCTCATCATAAAAAAGAAAAAAGAAAAAAAAACTGTAACTGTATGCTGACAAATGTTAACTAGACTTATTATGGTCAGCATTTTGCAATGTACACAAATATTGAATCGTGTTGTGCACCTGAAATGCTATATGTCAATTATACTTCAATTTTAAAAAAAAGTAAATTTTAAAGTTGTGAAAAAAAAAAAAAGCCAACAACATAACATCCATCGTCACATATCTTTCTCTGACTCTTCCCTTCTGCTACTTCATCCACCTTTAAGCACCCCTGTGATTACACTGGGCCCATCTGGATAGCCCGGATAATGTCCCCATCTTAAAGTCAGCTGATTAGCAAACTCAATTTCACCCGCAACCTTAATTCCTCTTTTGCCATGCAAACTAACACACTCACAGGTTCTGGGCATTAGGGTGTGGACGTCTTGCTGCCAGAGGTTGGGAGACGCATTGTTCTGCCTAACACATTGCATTCTCCTGTGAGAGCAAGGAACACACTTTTTTGTAATTTCGTGTTAATTGCCTGCTTTTGCAATAGACTGTGACCATCTCTTGTTTCCAGTTTTGTCCCAGTGCCTTCCATGGAGCCTGTACCATACTGCCAATTAATATTTATGGGTTTGTTTGCTATAGAAAATAAGGGAAAGGGCAATGAGACAAGAGGTCAGGAAAGGCTTTCTGGAAAGTGATTGTTTTGTTACTGCTGTATGTTTGGCACCTAACACTGTCGATTTTCAAAGAATATTTGGGGAATAAATGAATAAATGAAGGTGGGATTTGAATTGGACCTCTTAAGATGGGTAGCATTTAAGGCTTAGAATAAAAAATGTGCAAGGTATGCCAGGGACTCAGGGAAGAGAAGATGAAAGTAATGACTGTGTAGAGGATTCACAAAAGGCAAGACTGGGTTTTTGAACAGCCAGCTCAGGCTGGATTCCAGACAGCCTTGGGGAGGAGCCTAAGGTGCAAAGGGCTTTTGTTCTCTATAGTCAGTGAGGAATCCCCAGAGCCACTGCACACCCTACATGACGCTGCCCCCAACACTCACTCCCTTGGTGATCTCATCTGGTTTCATCAATGCCGTCCATATGCTGATACCTGTCAAGTGTACGTATCCAGACCTAACCTCTCCTCTTACCTCCACATTCACACATCCAAGTGCCTATTTGACATTGTCACGCAGGCATCTAAAAAGCATTCCAACCTTCGCGTGTCCAAAACCAAACTCCTGATTTTCACCCTCATTCCTCAACACCAACTTTCTCTTTCCCCAGTCTTCCACATCTTAATAAATGGATATTCCAGACTTTCAATGGTTTGGGTAGAGGACCTTGGAGTCTGCTCTCACACCCCACATTCAACCCATCGGCAAATCCTAACCACTCTACCTTTAAGATATTTCCAGAATTCAACTACTTCTTAATGGCACCCCTGCCATTAAGCCTTGGTTCAACCAGTATGACTGAAATGGCTTCCTAGCTGGGCTCCCTCATTTCACCATCTCCCCTTGATTCTCAATAAAGTAGCCAGAGTATTCCTTCTTTTTTTTTTTTTTTTTTATAAATGTATTTATTTATTTTTGTCTGTGTTGGGTCTTCGTTGCTTCGCGTAGTCTTTCTCTAGTTGCAGCAAGCAGGGGCTACTCTTTGTTGTGGAACACAGGCTCTAGGCACCCGGGCTTCAGTAGTTGTGGCACGTGGGCTCAGTAGTTGTGGCTCTTGGGCTCTAGAGCACAGGCTCAGTAGTTGTGGTGCACAGGCTTAGTTGCTCCGAGGCATATAGGATGCTCCCAGACCAGGGATCGAACCCATGTCCCCTGCATTGGCGGGCGGATTCTTAACGACTGTGCCACCAGGGAAGTCCCCAGAGTATTCCTTTTAAAATTCTAATGAGATCCCTGCTCAAAACCCCCAAGTGGCTCTGCATCTTACTTAGAATAAAAGCTGAAGTCCTTACAACAGCATACAAATGCTTATACTAGCTGGCCTTGCCCCCTGCCCCCTTCTCTGCCATCATAGCCCACTATTCCCTCATGTCAAGCTCTGCTCCAGCCACACTGGTCTCCTTAACTGCTTTTTGAACACACCAAGCCTGCCTCTGAGGTACTTACAGCTCTCACTCCACGGACTGCTCTTTTCCCAGACGTTCAAATGACTCGTGCATTCACCCATTCATTCTTTTTTTCAGGTCTCTGCTAAAATATCACTTTCCCAGAAGCACCCTCCTTCACCACCCAATATACAACAACACCCCATCCCCAGCATTCCCTATGCCTCTTACTAAAGGCTTTCCTTTCCCCCCGCAGCATTCACCCTCATCTGATTTACTATATATTTGTTTATTCCACTAGAAATGTAAGCTCCAAAATACTAGTGACTGTGCATATTTTTTGCAATGTACACTCTGCTTAGAACAGTACCCAGCATGTAGCAAGAACTTAATCTTTGTTGAGTGAATGAATTAACAACGGGAAATAGATGAGGAAGTGTCACTTGGGGGTGGGCTTTGGAAGAATGAGGTGGATACAGAATGCAGACTATAGAACCATCCAGGAGACTGAGCTAAAAGCCCAGATTTTTGGATCAGGGAACGTGGGAAAGGAGAGACAGCATGAAAGAAGTCTGCAACGGGAACATCTTAGATATGGTAGAATGAATATTGGAAATGAAGGTAAAAAAAGAGTCTGGTGATGTGATAATTTTTAGGGAAATGGGAATGTGAGTGCCACGAACAGAAAGATGCTGGTATAGAGGACCACTTTGGAGGAGAATATGGGCTCAGTGTTTGGTTAGACTGTATCTGATGTGTCTACAAAACATCCACTTGGAGGCTTCTCTCAGGGTGAAGGGCAGAGACTAAGCCTATAAGATGGGCAGGAGTCTCGTGCACTCTTTTGGGCCACAGTCTAATACTCAGGCGGGCTGGGTGTCCAGCTTAGCTTAGAAAATAATTAGATGAGGTGTCCTGCTTGAAAGGCAGCATGCTTGGAGCTTGGCGTGCTGGGAGAGGGCAAATGCGGGTCCTTCTAGTGAAGTGCTGAGTGGGGTGGAAGGCAGAGACAGCCAACCCAGCAAAGCAAGAGCAAGAGTGTAGTGTTTTTTTGGTAGCGCCATACAGCATGCGGGATCTTAGTTCCCCGACCAGGGCTCGAACCCGGGCCCCCTGCAGTAGGAGCATGGAGTCTTAACCACTGGACCACCAGGGAAGTCCCAAGAGTGTATGTTTTTTCATGTTGATAAGAAAGTTTGGGACTTATTAGGGATTTCTGAAGAGAGGAAAATGCCATTTTATAGACATTCCAGTTTCACGAGTGATTGAGACAATCTGCAGCTTTAAGCCCACTGATAACTGGATGGCTGCAGAACCTTGACTGCCCAGGAATGCGCTACCTCATAAATCTTGCTTAAATACTTACTGCTCTCATGTCACCCTAGTTGGGAGTCCACTTAAGCAGTTTCACCAGTTAAATATTGGCAGAGACCTGTTTTCCCACCACTCAGTGAAGGAGATTTGGTGCCTTCTCCAGAGGGCTGGTGGTGTGAGTGGAACCTCTCTACATTCCTGGGTGAGGACCACGTGGTCCCTGGTATGGAGGCCGTGGTGAACGAGGGGAAAGAGCCGGCTCCCTAGAGCAGGTCCTCACATGCCTCGGGAGGACAAACCATGGAATCAGAACTTCATCAACTGCCCAGTGAACCTCACTAAAAAGATAGCACCCAGGGCAGCTGAACCCTCAACAGCTCACTGACTGACTTAGCCAATTCCCTTCAGGTAAACTTTTGAAAGTGGCAATGATTTATCTTTAGCTGGGCACCTCTGAGCCAACAGCTAAGAGGACCAAATTACCCTCTTATTTAAAAATACACGCCCGTCTGCCCTCCCTCGATGCGCTCTGTAAAAGGCACTGGCTCTGATTTTCCCTGCAGGATGCCTTGGGACGCCTCACTCCTTCTGCTGTCTTTCTCTCCTTCAGGCCTGGAGCAGGTGTTT